TAAAACTCTTGCATAAATTTCTCAGTTTGAAATTTCAAGACAGCTTTATTATCCTTGAATGCTATGTAATAATAATGAAAAAGAAAAATTTATTTCTTACAAGCTAAATATTTTATAAATTCAATGGAAGAATCCATTTCTTGTTAACTCTGGACAGATAATTCATAATTTAAGGAAAAAGTGTCACAAGTATTAATTTTACTGAAAAGTAAAAACAATTTAAAAATTACATTAAAATTTTTTAATCTCATATTTTGTTGAATTATTCTTTATTTCACTTTTATTCTATAGGCATGATTTTATTTAGGTCTTTGAATATTGTCACAATAATTCCTTAAAGTCTTTCTAAGCTAAATGCTAAATCTGGGGAAATTCAGAGAGTTTCACCTGATTACTTTTTTTTCTGTATCATACTTTCTTGGTTTTTTTGCATGTCCTGTAATTTCTTATTGAATACTGCATAAAATAACAACTCTAGATTGTTATTTTATTCTCTGAGGGTTACTGTTGATTATTTAATAACTAGCTTGAACTAAAGCTGTGAAGTGTGTCTCAGACATAATGACTCGACTCATTCTTTTTGTTCCTTGTTTTTATTTTTAAGTCTGGTTTTCCAAGAATCACTAATGTATTCACATAGGTCAGTGTTCATGCAAAGATTTTTCACACGTTGTGCTTAAGGACCACAGCCAGTAATGTTCTTTTGCTCTCCTGATGGATTTGTGTGTGGCCTGGAAAACAAGCACATTCAAAATTCAGGCCACTTGCAAGTCAGCCTCAGCTTGTAATTTCCACCAAGCTTCCTTGTGTCTTTCTATGCATGTGGATATTCTATCTGCCAGGAATGTATATGTGGCTTGGGCTTATTTCTGTCTCTACCTGCACACAGCCTGGAATAAGTGGAGAGCTTATCAAACCCTTTGATTGGTTCACTTCCTGGAAATCCTTGTTAAATCTTTAGCTAGTCCACCTGTCCACTGTTGACCCCAAATGGGATCACAACTTCAGGCTAGCAGAGTTGTTGGTTCTCCTTGTTTATTTGAGTGGCAGTGTTTTTAACTCAGGTCTTTATAACAACCACAAAAGGATTCATTCAAGAAGAATTTAACCTGCATTGTAAAATTAATTCTAAGTAGTTCATTAGCAATTAACATAAGTATGGCTATTACTACAGTATCCTATATAATAAAAATCCAGCGACCGAAATGGCAGAACAACCAGGGACCAGAATGACTGCCACCCCTTGACCCACCCAGCCCTGCCCCCCAGCGGGGACCCCCACCCTGATCGTGGCTGGGGCTGGTCTGCAAACCACCCACAGCCCCTCACCCCAGATGGCCCTGCCCCCCAGTGGGGACCCCCACCCCAATAGGGGGCATGGTCAACCTGCAAACAGCCAGTGGCGAATGGGGAACTGGGGGTGGGTGGCATCAGGGCTGCTGCGGGCAGCCAGGGAAGATGGCCCTGATCGCAGGCCAGGCCTAGGGACCGTATCCAGGCATGAATTTCATGAGCCGGGCCTCTAGTGTTTTTTATAATTACAAATTTCTCTTTTATAATGGATTAATATGGAGTATGGAGCAACTGTTAAAACATGGATTCTAGATTTAGAATGCCTGAATTTCCACCTTAGCTCTACCATTCTAAACTTGAAATAATATGGGGAAAAAATACTTTATTATAAAATGGGACTGATAAAAATAATGTCTAAAAGGTTGAAGTGAAGATTAAATAAAATCATATATGTCTAAAGCATTTGGCAAAGCAATCTACTCACTGTAGATTATAAAGTCCTTGATTGTGTATAATTTGGGTTTGGGTCATATTACTACCTGGGTTCTGATCTTGTTCTCCTTAAGTGATCCCAAGTTTTTTTGGGGGGAGTTTTTTTTTTCCCATTGAGCAGATAATATTCTTGATACCAATGCTGATGCATAAATTGCACACAAAAAAGTATTGTAGCTTAAAGTTCAATTAACAAACTGTGAGTCTAATGCCTCATCTATTTGTACTTCATCAACTATATCTCTATCACTTTTATGCTGGTATTTCTTTTTTCTCTCTCTAGATACCTTTGTACTGATATGTTCAACCCAGAAACTACAAAGTTTAGTGCTCTCCTAAATACAAACTTTTTGAATGTTTGTGACCGTTTTTTTGCTATTCTGCTGCAGAGGAAGCGACTCTTGGGTGACTATACTCTGATGTATTAAAAGATTTCTCTGAAACTCTCTTCCAATACTTTATTCCATAAAGTTCATTCCTTTTTGCTTATTTCCTGTTCCTTGATACAAATATTTATATGATTCTTTAGGAGCTGGGCCTAGTCTAGCTAACACAAAGTTTTGCTATTTAACTGTTTCATATTTAGTGCATACTAGAAGCCCGGCACACAAAATTCGTGCACTGGTACAGTCCCCACGCCTGGCCTGCGATCAGGGCCATCTTCCCCGGCTGGCCACAGCTGGCCCTGCCCGCCACTGCCACCCACCCCCAGTTCCCCATTCACCATCAGGTGATCGGAGCCTGCTGGCCCGGGGGGAGGAATGGAGAGGTCGGCCGTTCTACCCACTCACCAGCCCCACCCCTGCCATGGGTTGCCCTCTTTGTTTGGGGCAACTGGTGGAGCGGGGGCCTTGGCCTGGCACCACCCACATCGCCTGCCACCCATCCCCAGTTCCCCATTCACCATTGGGTGATCGGTGCCTGCCGGCCGGGGAAAAGGACCAAGAGGTGGTCAGTGTGCCTCATAGTGACTGGTTGAGTGGTCATTCTGGTCGTTCCACTATTAGAATTAATGGGGGCCCCAGATCAAGGTGGGAGTCCCTGCTGGGGGGCAGGGCTGGCCAGGGTGCGAGGTTTGCATGCTGACCACACCCTTGATCAGGGTGGGGATCCTCGCTGAGGGACAGGGCCAGCCTGGGCGAGGGGCCGCTGGGCAGTTTGCCGGCCGGCCATGCCCCCTATTGAGCTGGGTGTCCCCCTGGAGGGGCAGGGCCAGCTGGGGTGAGGGGCTGCGGGCAGTTTGCAGGTGGGACACCCCCAATTGGAGTGGGATCCCCACTGGGGGGTGGGGCCAGCTGGGGCAAAGGGACATGGGGGGTTTGCATGCTGGCCACACCCCTGATTGGGGTGGGGGTCCCCACTGGGAGATGGGACTGGCCTGGGCGAGGGGCCACTGGGTGGTTTGAAGGCTGGCCCCACCCCCAATTGGGTTGGGGATCCCCAATGGGGGTCTGGGCCATCTGGGGCAAGGGGCCGTGGGGGGTTTGCAGGCCGGACACTCCCAATTGGACTGGGGGTCCCCTCTGGGGGGGTGGGGCTGGCCGGGGCTAGTGGCGGCAGTCATTCTGGTCTCTGGTCATTCTGGTCGTTCTGCCATTTCATGTGCTGGGCTTTTATTATATAGGATATGTTTACTTAATGTTTGTTAGAAAAATTCAACCACTTACCAGAACACTGGGCAATGACATAAAACAAAAAAATAAATAAAACAAAAGCACACTAATCCAAATTTAAGATCTAATTATTTGGAATAATTTATCCAGAGTTTCTCTTTTAGAATCTATGCAAATTGAATTAAATAAATGTCTTCTATGTATTCTTGTGAAGTTTATAATCCTATACAGATGTTGCTATTAGTTATAATAGTTTATATATATTGAATGTTTATATAACCCACCATTATTCTAAGTGCTTTGTATATATTATTTTATTTACACTCACAAAAAGTGTGAGTTTCTTTGACTTTGGTACCATCATTATACCAATTCTACAATTGAGAGAATTATGGCTCAGTGAGATTAAATGTCTTACCCAAAGGCAGAACCAGAAAAATATCAAGCAAGATTAACTACAGAGCCTTGGCTCTTAACTGCCATTCTAAACTTCATCTATAATAATAAAAGTGTAATATGAAAATTGACCAAATGGCCAAACAGCGGAATGACAGTCTGGATGACCTTCCAGACAAAGTCGAGCTGCAAGGGCCAAGGCAGCCGGAGCTGCAAGGGCCAAGCCCCTTGCATGAATTTCGTGCATCAGGCCTCTAGTTCCATAATAATGATCAACATTTACAGAGTACTTACTATCTCTTCTCAGTACCATATAGGTACTCATCTCAGTAACATTTGGTATGATTCCTTTAATCCTAATCAGTGCACTAGGAAGTTGTAATATTATGATGCTCATTTTAAAGATGGGAAAAATGAGGACAGAAAAACTAAGCAACCCACAAGGTCACAAGATAGGAATTAGTGGATCCTGGATTATAAACAAAGCAGATTAACTCAATAGTACAGAAGTTTTCCAGCACTTGATTCTTATTAAATAGTATGTTTAGATAAGGGATAGTCCAGAGAAATTTTTGTTTTAACTGTTTACCCTCTGCCAGAGAATCTTAGCAAATAGAAGGGGGTCTAAATAAAGTTAAAATATATACTAATTATGTAAACACTTTTTATATCTCATGTGTTATCTCTTATGTATATAAGTTACCTAGGCAGATGCCAATAATTCATTTGCATGTGCTAAGAAGAGGCTAATGAAAGCCAGTTAAATCAATGGGCCTATTTTAGGAACTTGATCTTGAAGAGACAACTGAATGAATGCAATTCAATGAAGTAAAACAAAATTAAGATTATGTTTCCACAAAAATAGAAAATATTTTGATCAATTGTGCTATTCAGATATTTATTCACAAATACTTAATGTATCCAAAAGAATGAGATTATCAAATCAAAATACAAATCTAGTCAAAAACCAAACTCAAAAACTTGACCTTACAAGGATTTGAAAATGCACTAGAAGAAAAGTATTATTATTGGTGATTTAATTATGTTGCTCTTTTCTAGTAAAACTTACCAGCAATAACATGTATTGTAATAGAATTTGAATATGCCAATGCTTTTTTCTAAAATTGAATTCTTCAATTTTATCATTTGAAACTGTAAAGTACAATGATCCTATATAATAAAAGGGTAATATGCAAATTGACCCTAACAGCAGAACGACTGGGAATGACTGGTCACTATGACACACACTGACCACCAGGGGGCAGACGCTCAATGCAGGAGATGCCCCCCACAGGGGGAGCTCTGCTCAGCCACAAGCCAGGCTGATGGCTGCCAGCAGTCTGACGGCTGCCAGTACAGCGGTGGTGGGGGGAGCCTCTCCTGCCTCCTCAGCAGTGCTAACGATGTCCAACTACAGCTTAGGCCTGCTCCCCGCTGGCAAGTGGACATCCCCCGAGGGCTCCCAGGCTTCCAGAGGGATGTCTGACTGCCAGTTTAGGCCCGATCCCCTGGGGAGCGGGCCTAAGCCAGCATGTGGACATCCCCCGAGGGGTCCCAGATGGTGAGAGGGCACAGGCCGGGCTGAGGGACCCCCCCGCTGAATGCACAAATTTTTGTGCACTGGGCCTCTAGTATGATATATAAGAGTGTACAAGCTTTAAAGTTGAATTATTTTTTCTTTTTCCTAGTAAAATCAGTACCTCAAAATTTTAGTGGCTACCTATGAATAATTTCAACCTTATTCAGGGCGGGGGGAGTTTTATTTGTTCGCACTTAATATTAGTAAAAAAATGTCTATACTAATAAAAGAGTAATATGCTAATTAGACCAGGTTGACCTGCCATCTTCCAGATGTATGACTTCCTTCTGGACAAAGCTATGGTGGTGGGGCCGAGGCAGAGGCAGTTAGGGGCAATCAGGCCGGCAGGGGAGGGCAGTTGGGGGCGACCAGGCCAGCAGGAGAGGGCAGTTGGAGGCGATCAGGCCAGCCAGGGAGGGCAGTTGGGAGCTATCAGGCCAGCAGGGGAGAGCAGTTGGGGCAATCAGGCTGGCAGGTGAGCAGTTAGGGGTGATCAGGCAGGAAGGCAGAGGTGGTTAGGGGCAATCAGGCAGGCAGGCAGAGGTGGTTAGGGCAATCAGGCAGGCAGGCAGAGAGGTTAGGGATGATCATGCTGGCAGGCAGAGAGGTTAGGGGCAATCAGGCAGGCAGGCAGGTGAGCAGTTAGGAACCAGCGGTCCCAGATTGGAGAGGGATGTCTGATTGGAGAGGGTGCAGGCTGGGCTGAGGGAACCCCTGTGTGCACAGATTTCTTGCACTGGGTCTCTAGTTAAATATAAATGGAATTAGGAAGAGAACAATACAAACTCGTTCAGGTTATGTTAATAAATTATATAACAACACCCTCTATATCAGCTAAGCCTTATATAATTAGAATGATATCCCAAGTAGTCATGGAAAAGTGCTCAAAAATAAATGAAACTTGAAATTATCTAAGAAAGAGTTTTAAGAGAAATCATATGTATAAATTTTCCAAAAGTCTAAAAATAGCAATGTGTTAAACAAAATGCTCATGACAAAGAAAACAGCTCATCAAGCATTCCCAGCTATGAAAATGTGGTTTTCCCATACATCATACAATAAAAAGCAGATGGTAGAAAATTAGTTGCCAAAAAAGAAAGGAAACAGATACAACATGTTATAATTATGAGCTTCAGAGAAACAAAGGGAGGGAGATGAATATTTTTAAACAAAAAAAGTAATGTTTCTTCCATGAAAGCTATCTCTCCTGAGTAGGGCAAACTAAGGATAAAATGACATGATCTCAGAAACATTAAGTACTCCTGGAATGAACTTTTTTTATCATCTAGAAAAACATCCCCCTTCTTTTTGTTGTAACACACCAAATTCTTTGCCACTCTTTTTTAAATATTTTTTAAATTAAATCTTTATTGTTCAGATTATTACAGTTGTTCATCTTTTTCCCCCCCATAGCTCCCCTCCACCCGGTTCTCACCCCACCCTCTGCCCTTACCACACCCCCACTGTCCTCATCCATAGGTGTACGATTTTTGTCCAGTCTCTTCCCGCACAACCCACACTCCTTTCCCCCCCGAGAGTAGTCAGTCCACTCTCTTTCTATGCCCCTGATTCTATTATATTCACCAGTTTATTCTGTTCCTCAGATTATTTATTCACTTGATTTTTAGATTCACTTG